TTACAAAAGATATTAAAGCTTATATTTTACTATATAAAATATTTATATAGTAAAAATTAAACTATAAATAACTACTTAATAAGAAGAGCTTACACTCTAGCAAATTCGGCTATAAGAAATAAGACTATAAAGAGTAATAGTCTAAGAGGATTAAGTGTTATAAGCATTATTACAAAAGTTATTAACGTTTTAATTTTGGTCATGTGACCTTGGTTTTGGTGGGGTGCGGGTGGCTCTGGCAAAGCGTCCCGTTACGCCATCCGTCCCATGTGTTACAACCACTTGATGTTGCAATTTTTGGACCGTTGAAAAGACACCTCACAACAGCCCTCTCACACCTTAATGAGAGGCAGCCCCTACGCATACAGAAAGCAGAATGGATGGATGCATACATACAAGCAAGAGCAGCTGCATTTTCAAATTCAAATATAGCTTCTGCTTGGAGAGGGAGTGGGCTACAGCCATTTTAACTGCAGACAGTTATCTGCGCAGATACGCTTCCTACAACAGATGCAGTAATAGTGCGGCCAAAGCCTCCAACAGAGCATGACATTTTTGAGAAAGTATTTTTGAATAGCAGTCCTCCTCATTTTCAGACACTTCACAAAGCAAATACAGTTCTCTCTTCTACAATAAGTCGTGGTGGTGTTTTGAACACTCCTACAAAGCGATATATTCATAAGTTAGCAGATGAGACAGAGAAGCTTAATACACGCCACATACTGCAACAAAGAGAGACAGATAACTTGCACAGTATAATCCAGAAGCGCAGAGAACAGAACAAGGGCAAAAGAGCAGTTTTGAAGGGTCAATTCCATATCTCTACAAAGGAGTTGCAGTCGCAAGTAGCAGATGCAGAAGCAGCAACAACAGCAACACAAAAGTCGAAAACATCAACAACACCACATGCTACAGCATCTCTAATTGATTTAATTGATGATAGCAGTGAAGAGGAGATGTATGATAGTGATTTAGATGAATTAGCATAGTAATGGTAGAATTATTTGCAATTTTTGGTGGTAACGTAGGTCATGGCCATACCGGGGCCATGGCCATACCGGGATGGTGAGGTAAGCGAGCACTTAACTACCCCATCAAACCCATCAACCAACACACCAAACCTATCAATTACCCCATTATTATGGTACGCAAACGGAGTTTAAAAGCTCAAGAACGCGATATTCCAATACTTGAAGCAGTAGCTGGAGTAAAATCTGGTTTATATAAAACTGCAAATGCTGCTGCAAAGGCCTTACATCTAAGGCCTGATACAGTTGTTAGCTGCATTAAAGGGCGACATACCTCACATAAAGAAGCACATTTAAAACATCAATTACTCTCCCAAACCCAAGAAAAGACCCTTTTAAAATGGATCAAAAATCTTACTGCAAGTGGTTACGCTCCTAGCCATCGCATATTACGTGAGGTTGCAGAGGAAGTCCGGTCAAACAAGTGTCGGGTCTTCCAAACCGAGGTGAGCTGACCCACTGACTTGACCAACTCAATCAAATCAACCATCAGCCCATCAAACCTGCTATAGACTGGCAAATCGACTATATCTAACTAGTGGCTTGGCAGACCCCATCAAACCAACCGGCCCAGCAGCAGACCCGACAGACCCAGCAGACCCGACCGACCCAGGAGACCCGACCGAACAGCAGTCCCGACCAACTCAGCAGACCCGACCAACTCAAACAGACACAAACTCAACAACCACAACTCCAACTACCTAAGTTACCACTTGGGCAAGATTGGGTGCCACGGTTCATTCAGAGGCATCCTAACTTATGTGTTAAGCTAGGAAGAAGGGTTGAGGCACAAAGGATGAATGGGGTCACAAAGCAGGTGTTGAAGGGGTGGTTTGACGCGTACAAGAGCCTCATAACAGAGCAAAAAATCGAAAACTACAACACCTACAACATGGATGAGACTGGATTTTCAATTGGAACAATGCAATCTACACGAATTATAGTCGATTCTACACTTAGGACGCGTTTTCAGGCACATCCAGGCCGGCAGGAATGGGTCTCTGCTGTTGAGTGCATCTGCATGGATGGAACAACCACCGACCCCCTCATTATCTTCAAGGGACAGAATGTACTACAGAGCTGGATTCCAAAGGATGTTATAAGCAAATGGCACTTCTCTGCAAATACAAAAGGATGGACAAGCAATCTTCATGGATATGAGTGGCTAAAACGCGTTTTTGAGCCTTCTACAAGAGCAAAAGCAACACTTCCAAATGGACAACTACAACAAAGGCTCCTTATTTGTGATGGCCATGACAGCCATATAAGCCGGAGCTTCATATCACACTGCATACAGAATCGCATATCGCTCCTTATACTACCTCCACATACCTCACATATACTCCAACCACTTGATGTTGCAATTTTTGGACCTTTGAAAAGACACCTCACAACAGCCCTCTCACACCTTAATGAGGCGCAGCTCCTACGCATACAGAAAGCAGAATGGATGGATGCATACATACAAGCAAGAGCAGCTGCATTTTCAAATTCAAATATAACTTCTGCTTGGAGAGTGGGTTACAGCCATTCCAGCCACAGACAGTCATACGCGCAGCTACACTTCCTACAACAGATGCACCCTTAGAACGGCCAAGGACTCCAACAGAGCATGATATTTTTGAGAAAGTATTTTTGAATAGCAGTCCTCCTCATTTTCAGACACTTCACAAAGCAAATACAGTTCTCTCTTCTACAATAAGTCGTGGTGGTGTTTTGAACACTCCTACAAAGCGATATATTCATAAGTTAGCAGATGAGACAGAGAGGCTTAACACACGCCACATTACAGCAAAGAGAGACGGATAACTTGCGCAACATAATTCAGAAAAGAAGGGAGCAAAAGAAGGGTAAAAGAGCTGTTTTGAAGGGTCAATTCCACATCTCTACAGAAGAACTCCGGTCGCAAGTAGCAGAAGCAGAAGCAGCAACAGCAACAGCTTCACAGAGGCCTAGAACAACACCACGACTTATAGAGGAAGCTACAATTGAGGAAATAGACAGAGAGGGTGAAGAAGAGATATATGACAGCGATTTAGATGAATTAGCCTAGTAGTAATTGAACAATTTCAATTTTTTAAAGGTGGTAGTGGTTTGATGGGGTGGTTCCGACCCCACTACCCCCGTTACGCCATTACCCCCGTTACGCCATGACCTACGTTAATGGGAAACTGTCACGGAGAGAAGCTCGACAACAACAACAACTGCTATCGCCAGCGCAAGAGCAGACACTTTTAAAGTGGATTAAGGTGCTAACAATTAACGTAAGTCGTGGTGTAAGCGGCGATCTGGCGTAAGCGGCGATAAGTACCCTTATATACAACTTTGTATGGAAAGGTACTTCTACATCCAAAACTAAAACCTTAAATAGCTCCATGGATAAAAATCGTTAGGCTTAGCTGTTCAATATTTAGGTTCTATATATAGGCCTTTACCTAATATAAAAACGCTAGTATTGCTAGTGTGATTATTATGCTTCTATTAGTAGGAGAAGATTGCTCATACAAATATTTGTATGAGGAAAACTTAACCCTTAAATTAGCATTGCAAAAAGACACTAGCAATACTAGCGTTTTTATATTAGGTAAAGGCCTATATATAGAACCTAAATATTGAACAGCTAAGCCTAACGATTTTTATCCATGGAGCTATTTAAGGTTTTAGTTTTGGATGTAGAAGTACCTTTCCATACAAAGTTGTATATAAGGGTACTTATCGCCGCTTACGCCAGATCGCCGCTTACGCCACGACTTACGTTAGTGGTTTGATGGGGTGGTTCCGACCCCACTACCCCCGTTACGCCATTACCCCCGTTACACCATGACCTACGTTAGAGCAGCGCTGATTTTGGAAAGTCGGGTGCGGAAAACAGCGACTAAACGTGCTGAAAACAGCAGCCAGTTTGCCGTTTGCTTGTTAAATAACGGCAAAACTTGAACTATAAACAACTTATTGATAAGACTAACGTAACTCGTGGCGTAACGGGACGCTTTGCCAGAGCCACCCGCACCCCACCAAAACCAAGGTCACATGACCAAAATTAAAATGTTAATAACTTTTGTAATAATGCTTATAACACTTAATCCTCTTAGACTATTACTCTTTATAGTCTTATTTCTTATAGCCGAATTTGCTAGAGTGTAAGCTCTTCTTATTAAGTAGTTATTTATAGTTTAATTTTTACCATATAAATATTTTATATAGTAAAATATAAGCTTTAATATCTTTTGTAAAACAAAACTAGTACTACTAGCGTTTTTACACATGTTAGAGTATGATATAAAGAGTAATAGTCTAAGAGGATTAAGCATCATAAGCATTATTACAAAAGTTATTAACATTTTAATTTTGGTCATGTGACCTTGGTTTTGGTGGGGTGCGGGTGGCTCTGGCAAAGCGTCCCGTTACGCCATCCGTCCCGTTACGCCACGAGTTACGTTAGCTTATGTATCTCACAGATTTAATTATATTGTATTGGTATATCAAGAGTAATTATTTAAGAGGATTAAGGATGGTAATCACTATTACAAAAGTTATTAGTATTAAAAATATGATCACGTGACATTTATTTTGGTGGTGTGAGCAGGTAGACCCGGTACACCATGACCTACGTTAGTGTTTTTAATTATATCGTATAAGTATTTAAATTATCTAAGTTTAATAGTATTAAGCTCTAGCAAGTCAATTAAAGTAATTATTGCCGTTTGAATTATATATCACGTGATGTGAATTCGCTTGTGAATTTACCTCCAAAATTGAAATAGCCGGTCCGGCCATGTAGCCGGTCCGGCCATGTAGCCGGTCTGACCACGACCTACGTTAAAGTTAACATGTCAAAAAAGCACTGTACGTAGCTCACGACTGCATTTCTATAAAACTAATTTAACTGTTTTAGTAGTTTGTTATGTAGAAGATGCATCTGATGGTATTTTAGGCCAGGCTTTTTGAACATAATAGAAAAGTCGATTAATTTCAAGATGACTTCTTGCGAGCGAATATGAACCGAGTCTGTGACTTATTGCGATATTTCTTTGGCCCAGATGTATCACCCTCAACGGTGTCTTCCTTGTACTTGCTCTTATGGATCCTAATATCATTCTTAAATTAATCGGCTGCCACTTGTTTAATTAAGATTGCATAGAAACTCACCAGCTGTTGCCAACCATGCTGATCCCCTTACTTTCGGCCATACGGTAGAATTTGGCGCTTTTCTTCATGTCCTTTTTGCATCCGACTCCCTGAGCATAACAGAAGCCAGCTTCTGCAAGTGCGTCCGCGTCGCCCCATGCTTCAAATTCCGTTAGCAAGCAGTCTTAATTAAATAGGAGGAGGGAACACACCACCAGCGATCTCAAAGCACCGCAACGCAAGCACTTTATCTTGCTCAATACCCCAGCCATTGAGGTGACTCATTCCCAATTCGCACATGCTGAGTGCGAACTGAGCTTTCCTTTGTTTCTGATCTACGACATCCACAGCCTGTCCTCCTTTGGCGGAACTTTCATCTTCATTCACTTCCAATATGGCGGAGTCAGCAGCCTTTCTGAGCCATTGAACACCTTCTTGCTGATTTGCACGCATCCCCCAGCCGTGTCGGCAGGCAAGCGCATACAGCAGCATGCCAGTAGGGTGATTTTGCCGCGCTGCAATCCTGAGATGATAGGTACTCTCGTTCAATGAGCCGTTCTCGTGGCATTCTATTCCTTTTGTTACATGCCACTCTGCAGACTTCTCTGCGTTTGGGTCCTGGTTTGCACGAGGCGGAGACGTATCAGTTTTGCTTGATGAGGGATGCGGCGGATCTGATTGATTTGAATTGGAAGGCTGTTCCAATTCCGGGCTGGTTAATGAACCAGGCTCGGGAATTTTACCACGTGGGAGAGCAAATGTAGAGTATATGGTTGAAGGGGCCGGGGTTTCTTGAGTTCCTGCCGGAGGTATTTCAGGTGACAAGTTCGAGGGCATTCGAGCCGTATCGTCCCTAGACAGAAACCGCTCACTGACCATTGATGCCTGCCGCATGAGCATTTCTGCCGGTGGCTCGGCGCGACTCAGTGGCCTTGAAAAATTGAACGCGGGCCTAGAAAGCCGATTGGTGCTGGCAGAGACGTCAGAACAGACGGACGGTGATCTAGGTATGAATGGCGAGATAGGCGACGTCGATAAGCCACTGCTCGACAAGAGATTGCGCAGGTTATTTCTCTCCGACAGGGCAGTTGCTGCCGACTCTTCATCCGAACCGTCCGCAGATATTGACCTCAGACTAGGGATCTTTGGGGAAAAGGGAGATCGAGGAGGGGCAAGAGCGCGGACGTCGTAGGAGCGCTGCTGTGATATCGAATCAATGCTCGGACGGCTTGACAAGCGAGATGGAGAGCGGTCTTGCACTCTACCGCTGGGAAGCTGGCCGATTGGCCCCGGGGACTCTTCCGTTCGACTGCGCATAATGTTGTTTCCAGGCCCCGAGGGTTTCCGTCCGCGGCTGGCTTCATCATCATCATCGTGAATAGGAGGAAAATTGAGCAGCAGGCCGGGACTGGGGATTTTGCTCATTCTAGGATACACCGATATAGGCCGAAGCGTAGGCTCATCGACTTCCGTTCTCATCCCAAGACGAGACGACTGAGGATCAGCCAGAATGTTCTCTGCATCACGGGCAGAAGCAGAACGGAAAAAACCCGGCCGCGAAGCGATCAAAGGACTCTCACTCGAAAGCGGTGGCAAGCGGCTCATACGGTTCTCTCCCTTCATGCCCTCCTCTAACTTCTTCGCCAGGAGCCGACTCTGCGCGGCGAAGGCATCGAGCGGTGACAGCTCGGGGGGAACATCGCCGGCGACATGTAGGCGTGGAGATGGTAGAGGGCGCAATGAGGGTTCGTAATCTGAGCCTAGAGGGCCATGGGACCGCGATCGGGTCTCGATCGTTGGTGGTCGTGAACCCATGCGATTGATCGTTGTATAGCTTTATATATAAGGTGTAGTGGGGGGAGCGGGGCAGCACGTCGAGAGTTCCGTGTTGCGTAGTAATGTCGTGTTAGAAGTAGTGTGCAAAAGTTGCAGGACCATCCACTGGTTTAGGTCGCAATCTGTAATAAGGTGTCGCACCAATCTGGCTCTGGCTTTTGTATGAGCATGTGCCTCATCGGTATGTATGTATTCCTCCCAAAAAGTCCGTGAGGTATATACCTGTGGAATGGCGGGCAGGTGAAGTATTGTCTGACGATGCGGCCGGGCGAGTGAGGGCAACCGTGGCAGGAGTTCGAGTAGGTCGCAGGAGTTCGAGTAGGTCGCGCCTGTATACACGCAAATTGACTATGCGGCGGAGTCAATGTTTGGCTTGCGACAAGACAGAATGAGTGTTGGTATTCACCGAGTGACGACAAATAAGCGATTCAGGGGATGAATAGACTGTGTAGGAGCGCGGCCCATTCTCCAGAGCGAGTGAGTGAAGCGGCCCATTCTCCAGGGCGAGTGAGTGAAACGGGCGTAGTAGTTAGTACTGTAACTGTAAAAGGTACAACAAACAACCTCGCTCCCGCGTCAAACCCCACACATTGTGGATTTACAGTAGCACTTACAACCCCTAAAAGTAAGGAGAGCTACAGTATCTTAGCCGCTTCCGTTCCGTTCACGTGGTTTGGCGCCTGAGCTAGAATTTAAGTTTACTTGATCAAGGAATCGTTTGGTTTCCTTACTTGTAGTTAATTCGATTGCAGTTGTGCATTGTGGATGGTCTATTCTCTACTTGTGTGCCAATGACACAGACACAGACACAGCACAGGGGACATCTTCATGGGTAATATAACCTCGAAAAAACTGATTGATAAAGCCAATTCCCATCACCTCTACTATAAACTCCTCGCCGTATGCTCCATAATATGACAGGCACGTTTCCAAAAAAAAAAAAAAAAAAAACTCACCCATTTTCAGAGAGTCTTCGCTTGTAACTTCTTAATCCGCGATACTCCCTCATATAAACCGCGATCCACGGCGGCAGCCACGGTCAGAGTACCACCGACAATCGCACATAAACCGGTAATGAAACCGGATAGGGTCTTAGTACGCTCCTCCCTGTTGATAACCTTCATAGGTGAGATATCCTATCATATATTAGTATGTAGCTCAGGGTTGCGCATGGGCGTAAGGGACTTACATATGAGAAGAAAACGCCTGGGATACCAGTGCGAGAATGCAGGCGCTCTTTGTGGCCCTCGGCGCCGTCGTCCCCCCCGCTAAGACTTCTCTTATGGCTAGTCACAGAATACTGATGAGTCTCGACACTTCCATCCACAGCATGGCCATAAGCTCCAAGCCCAATGTTCTCCTCGCTAATCTGGGTTTTAGCTGCACTTTTGCTGTTCCATCCGAGGGGGAGGTAGGAGGTTGAGACGACCTTGACAAAATACATGTAGTTAAAGGCGGGGTCGCGCGTATGCTGTTGTGTGCCGTCAAGAGGATTGAGATGGTGGTTGGTCCATGGCTGGTTCTTACCACCAAACTTCTTCGAAAGCCCTTCAGGCAGTTGAGGGCCGAAGCGCACATGGTGGATGGTATGCGCGAAAGAGTGTCCGCGCTCCAGACTCGGAGTATCCCAGTAATTGGCCAGGTCGTGGACATGCATGTTGCCATTGCTGTAACTGCGTCCTGGGGCGATATGGAAATTGCCAATGACCTTGTTTACCCGGACCCCACCTTCGATGCGGCAACCTTCCTTGCGCTGCTCATCCAGTCTTTCGCTGTAGTGTTCGCGCTCACACTGCTCGACGTTTTCGCCCCGGCCAAATGCCCAGGAAGCAGACGCGTAGGCATCTCGTACTTCGTCACAGGTGTTACAACATCCTGCTTTCTGTGCGTTCGGTGGGGGTGTGGCGCCGTAGCACTGGCCACAGTATGATGGATCCAAGTGAGCGGCTTTTTCTTCGGTAGAGTGCCTGTTCAATATTAGACTTGAGTCAATTGTTCAATGGAGAGGCGTATTCACAGATCAAGTGCTTTCACATCGATAGCTCCACCACCCGCGTCGGGGGAGTTCAATCTGACTTTGCTGACTCCATGCTTGACACCCGTCTGCATCTCGCCCGACACATCCATAACATCAAGCGTGAGAAGCTCGCACGGGACGTATGGGAATGTAATGTTCATCCAGATCTCCATCTTCTCTCCTCTGCTCTTGTCCACCACCAACTCCGGGTGCACGACAATACGGCGATAGTCCGCCCATTCTCCAAAGGCGAGGTAGATTACTATGAGGAGCGAAGCAATTGTAACAATGCCTCCGCTGGTGGTGCGTATACGCGCCTCATCCACCGTCTTTGTGAAGGCATCTAGCCTTGTGAATCTAGATTTCGGCGGCATCCTGGAGAGCGCGGCCGACAATAATTGGTCGTTGAAAAGACGTCGAGGTCAATTGATAGAGCCCAGAGCGATATCAGCTCATAGTCCAGATTAGCGCAGCTTCCACGTAGGCGTGGATTGTCGAATATGCCCCAGATTCTGCGATTCTTCTGGGCGACACTTCATGGTTGATGGCTCTGCAGGTACTGCGCTTCAGGCCACCTTTCTCATACAGGGGTGCCAGTTTCGTCAGATACGCCAAGGACGTGGATCGTCGCGTGGGACGAAACGCTAGGCGAAGAGGCGAAGTCGCGACTGGGATCGGGCGTACGGGGGTCACGTCCGGTAGGGACCTCCATCCAGCGAACGGTTATGTAGTTACTCTATAATTAAGCATCTTTTATTCCACTGGGTGCACTACTAACATAAATATAGAATGTGCATTTTGGAAATTGGAATGATATTAATGAGGTTTATAAGCTACTGCTAAATGCTGGCCATATAGAAGATAATACTTTGTCCAACCAATTTCGCATCTTATGTACCACAGATACATGTACTAGATTTCGTTGAATTCCCAACCCCTCAAAGGACAAGCACGCTGAAAAAACGACCCAAACAATTCATAGTAGACCCGGTGGGTATCTCGGAAAACACAAAACCAAAAACCGCAACAATTAAGGCAGCTGACCGATGCCCGCGCCACCTGCGTCCTCATACTGCTGCCTCCACTCAATATTGGCGACGGCACTCTGGAAGGCGCCAGCGAGATCGGTGTGGAAAAGCGGGCGGTTGAGCCCGTGAACTACTGCGACACGAGACGACTGCTTCAACTGGGGCACAAGGCCATCAGTGGTGGTGGTCGAGGGGCTGTTTCCAATGTCGTCAGGGCTAGAGGAGGTGCGTTCACCATCGCGTGTCCGGTGCTTCACAAGCTCGTCCTTTTCAATACACTCAGCAGTCTCGGCGGCAGAGTCTGCGCCGCCAATTTCTGCCACGCTGAAGATTGGCTTCCATCGGTGGTTGAAGTCGACGCCTGGCTGGGATGGGTTTCCGAATCCAGCACTAACCAACGCCCGCTTGGTCCAGCGGTTGTTGATGCAAGCGAAATGCCAGTCAACGACCTCCGGTGATGTGTATTTGTCCAGCTGGTTGCGCACGTCAATAAGCTGCTGCACCGAGGTGATGTCAACATTGTTCACAGAGCTGAAGTCGAAGATAATAGCTTTAAGAGTAGGTTTTCCGGAGTTGTCGACCTCTTCTTGTCCAGGGCGAGGTCCGGGGTCGTTCCAAGGACGGTCTCCTAGCTTCCCGTACGAATTCGGATTGGTGCGCCTAGTGACAGAAAAAATGTGATTCGTCAAGTGGTCAAGATAGTGATTGGCGTTGGGATAGTTGAAGCCTTCAGAGAATCTGTATATGAAGACTCCAGGGTATGGGGTTTTGATCTCGATCTCGGGGTTCGACCCGTCGTCATGATCAATGGGAAGGAAAATATTGCGGGAGCGTGCGTCTGTGCTGGCGGCATTGGATGTCGGAGCATCAGAATCCTGTTGGTTGTATTGATCGCTATCGCCAAGGATATTATCTCCATGGACGGAGTGGATCTTAACCTGTCCAAGGAATCGGCCCTTGGCTTTCAATACACGGAAAAGCAAAATAGCGGCCGAGATGACGATCGTGCAGTAGATACCGTTCTCAATAGATGAGAAGATCGTAACAAACACACCGACGAAGAATATGAGGACCTCCCATGGCGAGACTCGCCAAAATCGGTAGATCGTGTTCGGGTGGGTGATGAGATCACCAACGGCATGAATAATAACTCCTGACAAACTCGCGCTCGGGATGTAAAAGAAGACTGCAGGTAAGGCGTAGATAGCAAGGAGTACCACGGCGGCAGTGATTACACCAGCAAATGGGGTGCGGACTCCGGCCTTGGACTTAATTGCTGTGCGGGAGAAAGAACCCGTGGCGGGATACCCGCCGAGGAAGGGCCCGAGGATGTTGGTAACGCCGATGGCGACCATTTCTTGTGACGGGTCAATAACGTAGTTGTTGATTCGGCCAAAGGACTTTGAGATCGCGATGTGCTCAATCAAGAGAACAATGACGGAGGCAGGCACTTCGGAGATGAACAACTTGATAATAGGTATGGTGATCGTCGGAACCGCGGCATTCTGAAATCCTGTTTTAAATTAGATACATTGAACAAATGCGCTATAGTGTACATAACATACCTCTAGGAACGTTTCCCAAGATGCTGAATAGCGGATGTGCGCGATGGTTCCTGTTGACGAGATAACTGATAAGTGTGTAGAGCAGGATAACGAATACTGTTCGGAGAGTCGACACGAAGAAGAACGTCTTCTTTTGACTGGGATACTTCTTGGCAGCATAGCTGCACGCGAAGCGTATAATGTATAGCATCGCAAGAGCAGTAACTCCCATGGCCGCATTCAAGTTTGAGTGCTTGAGTTGTTTCAAGGTATTGATGATGACGAGATATGTGGGAGCGCGGGTGTCCAGAAGTTTGCTGATGCCCATCATAGTTGGAACTTGGCCAGCTGCGATGCTGATAGCCGATCCGGTCATGAATGCGGTGATAGAAGTGAGCGAGATCAAATCAACGATCCATCCCATTCGAAGGAGACCGATTGTCACAATGATAGCCCCGCAAATTACAGCCAATGCAGAGGCAATAACATGCCCTGGTATACTAGGATCGATGGCATTTGCTTTGATAACGACATTACCAACAATTGTTGACATGACGGCAACAGGCTGTTTCAGGAGTCAACACAATCCCAAAATTCAGGGGAGAGGGATAACGTACACCAATAGTAATATCCTTCGAGGTTGCAAAGAACCAGTATATCAGGACGCCCATAAAGGAAGAGTATAAACCAAACTGAACTTCTAGCTTTGCAAGTAGGGCATAAGCCATCCCCTGCGGTACAACAACAGCTCCAATTGTAATACCTCCACCAAAGTCAGCAGGTGCAAGGGAGATGCGACCGAGGATGGAATAACTGACCCGCGACCAAGTCACCGATAAGCCATTGTACGTTGTAGCGCGTAATCCAGTAAGTAAACGGGAACAGTGATCTGAGGTAGGATCCCAAATCCCTCCAACTTGGGAGCGTCTCATGGATCCATTCCCAGGTCGACGGCTCTTCCTCGACAAAAGTATCGGCTGTCTTGGTTGAGAAGACAGACTCGCCCCTGGTGGTGGTCTCATAGACATATGGCTCATCAAGCTTTATTCCGAGAGCTTTAGCCACGAAGTGACCAGCCTTTGCCCTTGACTCGGCCATCTTGAGTGGGATGACCCTTGAGGGCGGTAGCAAAGGAAATCGAGTCGATTAAGATCCGAGGTGTCTAGTGCACGAGTTGCACTGACGTTGCCAGGAGATGACAACAAAAAGACGAATGTCTTTTCCGAATGAAGTCGCTGTAGTTGCGAAGGAATGAATGCTGACCAAACTGAAGGCGGCAGATGATGGGAGATGGCGTGCCTTATATCCCTTGAACAAAAGAATGCGTGGAAGGGGTCAAGCTTCAGCTGCGCGCGCAGAGTCGCGTGGAGGGTGAAACAGTGACCTCCCTGACCCCCGCGTAGGAGCACCGAATATGAATATGGCGCGGCCAGACAGACAAGGGTGTGGTGATGTGCAATGTGCAGTGGGTTGCCGCCGAATTAGAACGTGTGTAGTATATGCAGAGTAGGTATAGTCTTGTGCTATATGAGCTGCAAGTTTACCTTTGCAGGAAAGGGCCCCTGTGAAAGAACGGATGCCGTGGGGGAAGGATCCAGGAGGGGGGGGGGTCCAGAAGTATGGCTCCAGGGATTTCCCACTGCGGAGGGATGAGAATAAGCAAGCAGGCAAGCTTTCGCAGGACGCCACGAGCTGAGGTTTGGAGGGTATGGTAAGATGGTGGCTTGACCTGAGTTGGTGCGGGAGCAGCACAGCACGCCAGAAACTGGGCGATTACCTCAATCTGGATGGAAAAGGCGTGATTTTCTATAAATCAGAAAGCGACAGAGACATTCGTAGTGTGGCTTCGTTAAGTCGTTAGGTGGAGAAGGAATAAATTGCTTGTTTGATAGAAGCCACTCTGTTGTCTGAGATGGGATGAGGGTGGTGAGGGCGTAATTGGGGCGTGTTGGTGGCCGGGCGTCTTATGGAATATGAAGGCCTCGGGAGGTATGATCGTTACAAACGTATTGTTTGATAGGAGCCGGGGAGAAGAAGAGAGGGGGCGAGAGGAGGGGAAAGAAATGGACAGGTGACTCAGATTAGGGTGTACAGCAATTGGGATGATTATATGTACGACACGAGCGACCTCGAGTATTATACCGCGAAGCCCTCACAGACCAGAGCCATGACCGGGCGTCCGAGAGGCGGGGAAAACGGGGATAAATTCACAAACAAGATCAATGTTTGGTGGAGAGGAGTGGGGGGGGGAGGGCAAGAAGGGTAGAAGGCGTCGGGAGTTATTTATTAGCAAAACGCACGCCCTGTTTGTATAGTCTGTATGTATGTACTTGCCTCGAGTATTGCTCATTTTCGCCATAGTATATATAAACAGAGAAAATAGAGGAGCGTTTGGAAAAGTGGAAGAGCACGCCATGCTATCCCTGCAAACCGAGGCGGCTCGGTGTGGATAAGCGTGGATCGAGTGGATAGAGATTGACAAGGGCAGGGAAGCGATGAGGAACCTTAAAACCAACCTGCAGATATGCGGACACGCTGTATTGGCCGGACTGGATTGTACTGTACATACGTACCTGTCTTGAGTATACTAGAGCATGCTAGAGTTCTACGTATAATACGTATCGTCGTTCTATTATGGCGTCGTTCTATTATGGTCGAGTACCTGCACGGAGCTCTCCGCTACTGCACTACGATATAACAGAGCACTCGCACTGTACTCTAGTATAGACACGTTTGATTTGTATGACGGGAAAACCACGGTAGAGGTCCAGATGTACTCTACCCGAGTCGTCTGAGATGAAAATTGTTGGCCCTTGCACAGAAGCGCGCTAGTAGAATGATGCCATGGGGCGGATGACGTGACGTCCGACCTGAGCTATTCGTGCCGTCGCCCACCGACCGATCCCCCCATCTTTTCATTTTTTGGCGGTTTCCATTCTCTTCCCTAATTGGTGTCACCTTGCCCCGGATATTCGCACAAGTACAAGTCCCACATATGGAATTCACACCACAGCGCCTGAGAATGTCATCAGTCTCCTGAGAATGTCATCGATGTGTAGGAGGCAGCAGCGTCCGGGTAGGTCCCCGCCAGTTGAGCTGAGGCTGTGTTCGACCTTCCTCTTCTGTTTCTACCCAGACAGGAGCAGGGTCAGGTTTCGTCGCATTCCTCTCTCGTCCTCCAGGTAGGCTTCCGCCAGTTCACTGCGGTTGTGTCTGTTTCTACTCAAACAGGCACAGGGTGCGGGTTTCATCTCATTCCTCACTCGTCCTCCAGGTAGGCCTCCACCAGTTGACGCCGGTTGTGTTCAACCTTCTGTCTCTGTTCCGTCATTCCTCTCTTGTCCTCACCTCTCCTGCCACGGCGTTGCACAGCTCGACCTTCACCCCTGAGCCCATGAGGACGTGAATCCACAAGCGCTGCGTGTCAGAGAGCCTGTCGTTCTCTGACTTGACCTCAGACAACATCACCTGGCTTGTCTCTGGATTCCAGAGGAACAAATCAGGAACGCCGCCGCCTCGCTGCCGATAGTCCTGTGCCATAACCATACAGATGCTAGCCAGAGCTGAGCCGTCAAAACAAGCTGCAATCTCTAATAGATCATCCACCGCGAAGTCCCAGTTCAAGCCGACTACACAGGTACGCCTCTCTCTTTCTCGCTCGTTCACTTCTCGGATTAATCGCCCTGCACCGCCATTCGATAGCTCAGCAAGTCGGTGGTGTATCTCGGATGCGCGTGAGGGAAAAAACGCCTCTGTGTATAGATCAAGCGGGCATGTCTGAAATTCCGTCTGGAAGACATTCGGGATGTAGGCGAAAAGAATATCATAGAAGAGGTATGCGAAGAGAGTTTGAAGAATGCCACCTTCAGCATGATAGCCTGCGACGATTAGCCAACTGTCAATCAGAATCGAACATTCACACTGTCCATCTCTCTCGAAATACCACTCCCAGGAGAATGCATAGGCTTACCTTTCCACCCCTGACTTCGATACCATGAAAGGCACATAGCTTCAACGCTGCATTCGCCACCACCATCCTTCTCATCTACCCATATCGTTTTAAAACTTCGCCGTTCCTCAGCCCCCGCGCGCCCGACATCAGCAGGTATGACTCGAACCTGTATACCCTCGACGTTCCTCTCTATGGGAGTGATAAGCCTTGTGTGTCCAAAGTCGTGCTGTTCCCTCTTTGGGATTTTTATAGCCTTCTCAAGCTTGATGATGCGCTTCTCCAGATCGTAATGGTATATTACGTGACAATCACGATCTTGTAATCCTTCCTCGGCTGTCTTCAGTGATGACCGCTTCCAGTATCTTTTCAATTGGTCCTGGCTCATGCCCGCGGTTCCCGTTGAGCCAGCTCCGGCCTCTGCCAAGTAATGCTCCTCGATAAGAGCTTTTCTCTGGTATATACCACCACGACGGTAAATAAATAGTCGTTGTTCGAGGAGTTTCGTCAACACACTGTGCTCCCGTTCGTACATCTTCAGTCGTCCAAATACCAAAGTGGCCTTGGATATAATGCGTGTATACACCGAGCAAGGAGAGAAGAGCCGTAGATATGCCCCCTCTCCACTTTCGTACACCCGTTCCTCCTTATGCTGCTCATCTGCCACCAAAGCTTGCCATTTTGGGTAGACCTCCTCGAAAATGGATAGCATTTCTCCCTGTACCTGCTTATCCTGGATACCATTTTCGAGTATGCTGTCAACCTGGTGCTGGAGGCGGATACTTGCTTCAAATTCAAGTAGCAGGGCCCTTGATGGGAATATATTGGCCGATCTACAAATTAAATAATTTGGAAAATTCCTCCTTTGAATTCGTGCTAGAATAATCGTAGTGAGTGATTTCTCTGGATCATGTCAGTAAGTGTCCGATTTATGTGAACTTGGAACCACGCACCCGTCCATCTAGTTGATCTATAATAGACCATGTGCACTCTTTCAAAAAGTCCCAGTGTGCTGGACGAAAGGCGAATACAGGACCCGATATTTCCAAGAATCTTGCGGACGAAGTGCTTATCCCTATTACTTTCGCTGAATGTCTGATCTGACAATTTCACATTGACGTTCGAATGAGTACCACTCTCGTCCAGATGAGTCTCACCACTGACCGCGGTCGAAATATGAGGGACGTCTGATATTTTGGGGCCAGAAGATACTATTTCCGGATCAGATTTTGATTTCAATATTCTCAGGCCAACCGAACCAAGGCCACTTTGAGCCCGACTCATTCGTCGAAGAGCGCTCAGAAGCTCCGTTTTGTTCTTTCCTCGAACCTTTGCTTCCTTGCCGATGCTCTTCAATTCATCCAACGACAGCAACGACGATACCTCCTCCAGAGTGGTATCCTCAGTCAATGCGTCGGCAAAAGCAAACGAGTTGCTTTCCAGGTGAAAACCCGAGTCTTCTATCTTAACGCTCGTGACCGGCATTTCCCCTGGGACTTGCGGCAGAGGACGAGAAGATTGTAGACTCTCAATAGCAGCGTCGATATATGATATATCGGAATGATATCCCAGTCGATAAGCACGGTGCCAAGCCGACGTCTTTCTGAGAAATAATCGGACATAACTGATAGAAATCAGCAAAAAAATTAGTGATAAATACGGCAGGCGTTTCTTACAGATACTGGGCCTCATAGCTCAATCCGTGCCACTCGTCAAATACCTTCCCTTCCTTCTTGTCAAATAAATGGCTTTCTTCATCAAGGACAGTCTCCAAAGCCAGATTGAAGGCATTGACGTAAATTGAGCGGCGGCCAATTGGTAATTTCCGAGTGCTTAAATTATCTTCAAGGTCTTCAGATCCATCTATATCTTTCTCAAACGGTTGAATGGCCTCGTAATCTACAATGGCATCCTTTCCCTGATCTAGATGTGGGAGAGCGCTTTCCAGCTCCGTGGGGCCGTCCGTATCTGTGCCAAAGGTATTGAGGTCCAAGTCAAGCCTCGCATTTTCGAAAGCATTGCTGGCTACCGGAGGAGTCTCTTGTTTCAGGGTCTCAACCTGCTCACCAGTCTTCCGCCGCTTCACGGGATAACCATTATCACGCTCGTCTATAGCTGCCATCGGTGACAGCAGTTTTGGGATATATGACACCTCTCCATCAGTTGATTTGGGGCCTGGCCGACGTGTATTACAGCCGGACCATATCGCCCATTTAACTGCACGTCCCCTGTGATAAAACTTCCTTAGCGTGAGGTGGTGGGGTTAAATGGATGGCGAAGAGAATGTTCGCGAAATTCCTGACGCGTAATCACCTGATGTACATTTATGCCGCATGATCCACACATAACTGGAGAGCAAACAAAGAGTAACTGTTCTTGCCAGATCAACAGCTATTTCTACCACTAAGGAGATGAATTAATACATACACCTCTCGAACAATGGAAGCTAAGAACCCGCCTACTGGAATCGCCGCGGCTGCCCAAGCGTATCAACTCGCCATGTCCCAACAACCAGCGGCCCAGACTGAGGCAGAGAGCACTGATATCTCAGCCAACCCACCCCAACCAGAGGCAGCCAAAGACGTCACCATGGCCGACGAGTCCGTTGAGGTTTGTATGGCATAAGAGTGGTCTTGGTGGGATACTTGCTTATTTTGTAATAGTCGCCGGCGCCTGCATTGGTAAAAATCTCTAACGCCCATAGCCTGATTCCTGCCCGCACTGGTACGCCTGTGCAGGCAAATATTGCTGCAGATAGCTCGTCTCGAGCGGCGTCACAGCATCCTGAGCCGGGGCCCGCCGCTATGCCTGCGCATGCCCCACCCCATGGAGCGCCTGCGCGCCAGTATCTGAATGCTAAAGTCACGGCGACGTTGTTGGAAGGCATGAAGCAGCTGGCAAAAGACAAGTGTGTTTACTCTGAGGCTATGTCTTACTTGTCATACAGCGTATTGATTTTTTAATAGGCCATCTGACCCACTGAGGGTGTTGGGGGAATTGTTACTTCGGAAATCTAAGGAGATTGAGGGAAACTGAGTAAATTTGGGGGTATATTACGGGACGGAAAATAGATATGAAGCTACGCATGATATCAAAGAGGAGATAGCAGCCGGTGATGATAACCAGCTATGAAAAGACAAGAGCGATTGCAAAATTTTCCGCCAACTGAATTAGTCCCAGTGGTCAAGCAGATAGTGTCCATACTGTCACATTGATATCACGGTTTAAAAGCCAGGAACATGTGTAAGACGGGTGGTGCGTGCGGGTTTCAATTCACTGAGATCTAAGCTATCCGAGCTTTTAGAACAGTAGCCTTGATCATAATGCAAGATATCCGGCCCCAACTCCTTAAACATCCATTCCAACGAATGATCTATGAGACCATGGTGCTGGCGGTGGAGCTCTCGTATCTCCAGGTAGGTGGGAGAACACCGACGGTCTTGTAGTAGCGGGACAGGCGGTGGATACGGGACTCGATGAGAATCAGGCGGAACTTGGAGTCCTGGTCCTTGCGGTTGCGCTCGAGGTGCTTGCGGACAGCGACGGCCTGGAGAATTGCTAGTTAGCATTGCAATTGCGGCTGGAGCAAGTTTCGCCAAAATGTACCTTCTTGATCAACATGTAAAGATCCTCTGGGATTTCTGGTGCGAGGCCTGTGATCACTCCGTCAGTCTTTGAGACCAAACAGAGGCTGGGTTTTTTTATGGAATAAATCCACGGCTATATTCGTGCAATGTGTCCATATCCGAGTATAGTCGTGAATTCATGTCGGTGGGACCGTACCGTTGGACTTGAGGATTCTGAGAATCTTGTTACCTGGGATATAGTTAGTTGATGTTCGAAGAAATTGGATTGAAAAGATTCCACATACCGGTCACAACCTTGACCTGGGCAACACCGTGGCTGTCACGGAGGACAACACCGATTTGAGATGGGGTAGCTCCCTTCTTTGCAAGCTTGCAAATCTGGTCAACAACCTATAGAAGTGTAAGCGCGCGATCCTGCGACCAATGTCAATTGGCAAATTGTACCTGCTCAGGAGTAGTCTTCAACCATGCTGGAGGAGTGCGGGAGTATGGAATGGCGGAGGCAGATATGCCCTTTCCGTTAGAGTGAAGGCGTCCCATTGTCGATGATTATGGAGGTGTCGAAGGGCGGAGAGTCGTCGTCGTGGGGTGAGGATCAAAAGTTGTCGCTTCTCTTCCCGACGAAAAGTGCGGTCGCTTAAATTAAGCTAGGGCAGCAACTTCTGTGTGTGGTGACCACGCTAGTACCAATCGGAATTTGGGAGATTAAAACCACCGAGATTTTCTTCCTCTTCCTAGCATATTCAACTTTGGAGTTGTTGTTCGCAACCCGATTTGTCGGCCTGTGGCCCAGAATTGCTGGAAACAGTAATGGGTCACGACGACCATATCGCCCTGGGGCAGGTACCCTCGTCTTGGTTGTATTTGGATCAATGTGTGATGAATGACATTGGTAAGTTTTATGGCATTTCCCTTCTAATCCAGGCGCTTTCCCGAGATACAATGATGATACACTTTTTACTTATTTTCTGGTACCTCTTATGTCAGGCGCCCTCACAGGCCCGATGATCTTAACGGACTATCTGATCCATATCTCAAACATGCAGTGCATGCGAAAGCTCAATTGCCTTAATTCTTTCAGGATTACATTTGGAAACATAGCTAATCATGTAATAGTTTATCGATGAAAACTTTTATCAACACTTCTCTGCTTCTCAGAGCGAGGTAACGAACTACATATTTCTTTTAGGCGGCATTTTTAGCAGATATTTGGTGTGATAGGAAGAGCCACAGTGAACTTCTTCAAACAAAACTATGATATGCTGAAACTTGACTTCGTGTGTATTCATTATGGGATTTGGCATCGGACTTTGCGATGCATATATCTCTTAATCTTTGTCCCCCCGAAACCTTACATAACCCTAAACTAAACGCCTAACTCCTGGCCGAATTATCTCCTAACATAGTTCAGCAATGCTCCATATCCCAAGTACTATTGCGCATGAGCTACTATCTCTGCGTATACATCGTCTGGTATCTTCTTGATCAATGTCAACGTAAGTTCCTTTATGGTCTCGGCCTGTAGAGGTGGAAATGACCGAAGTATTTTCGTTGGACTATACCAGTAGTTAGTAATGTTTACTATGGGACCGGGTATAGAGAATATGTACCTTGGTGAGCTTAAGATGGAGTTTCTCAGCATAACAAGCTGTGCCACGATGCAAAGGATGTTCAAATGTGCACCATATGCAAAAAGGAAGTCCCAGAGGCGCAGGACTTCTGGTAGAGGTGGTGTACAAGCGCATAAGGTAAGGACGGAGGGGAATGCATATAGCTCTGCATGCATGCCCTTTCCCATGAGATAGAGGCTCAGCTTCGGGTCAACGATTGACAACACTTTGTCAACCAGTGCCAGTCCTTTGTGGACACCGCTCATGGCGCCACGTACATACCCAGGGACCTCGTGAGTGATAAACCTATAAAATGCAACAAAAGCTTCTGATTCACTCCGAGCGGTGTACAGGAAAGGGGCAGCGAGCACATTCATTCCCTGGACGTACGTCCCAGGCTCAGACGTTCCAGCGTCCGACCCTTCCGTGGTCAAGGTCAAGGCTCGGGCTCTATTCTTGATCACCGGCGCTGCAGAATGTAATTCTGGGCTGCCATCCGCCGTGGCAGTATGTGTAACCTTGCTGTTGTTACTGGTGCTACTTGCACTCTCAATGCGGCTTTCTTTCGCTTCATGTAGCCTCCAAGCCACTGCATTTAATAGTCGGATCAAGCTTGCTTCACTGACGCGGCGTCGGAAAAGAGGGTCCGTCGCGAGGGTTCGAAATGTGTCGTTGCGGATCTTGGAGTAGGCTGGTGAAGCTCCACGGTGAACCAGTACGAGGTATGCATCAGTCTCCAGTAGGGGCGCATTCAAGAGAATCAGCCACGCATAGATTCGAAGAGAGGACTTCCAGGTAGTTAGTAAAACCTCTTAAACAAGCCTGCACCAAGTAAACTTGCCATTCCATCGCTATCGCTCTTGATTCCTTGGTCCAGGATCTTCAATCTCGTGGAATCTAACGCACCCCTCAGGTCGCGGTCTGGGCCTTCTCGAATGAGCCGGTCGAGTGAGAGGGTTTCCGCCGCTGCTGGCTTCTTCGCACTGGTTTGCTTTCTACAAGCTAGTCCCGTGGCTTGGGTGCTCACGGTGGTAACGTCACTGTTGGACCTTGTGCGTTGGTGGACATGAGTTGTTGGCAAAGGTGGCTGGTCTTTAGGCCTTGGAGTTTGGTTCTGCGACGTTTGCTGTAGGCGTTGCTGTGAAATCAAGGAGGGTTTGTTTGAGCCCAACGTGTGGGCTGAGTTCAGTCTCCGAAGCGTTCGGTGGGTTCTGGGAGACGGAGGAGCTTGGATTGACGGAATGCTTGTGGGCGCAAGAGAAGAAAAGCTCTCTTTCGTAGGGGACGCCATTTTTGAAGATATTAAATAGCCTTCACAGCGTCGGCATAATTGGAAGCGTCAAGGCGGTCTCTGTGAGATACTATATATTTCAGAAGCGGAATGTGCTATGTCGACACTTTTTGTGAGATTAACAAAAGGACGTTAAACCTCGCGATTAACTATTACTGTGGTCCGTATAGAACGCGGCTGTTTGGGCCCTTCGCGTCCGCGCGAGATTCAGTGGGGTCTCAGCCTTGTTGAGGATTGCGCGTATGGTACGGCAGGCTACAGCCAACAGGGTTAGCAAAATTATTCAACGTATTCTTGAATATTTAACTAAATGTGATAACGTGGTTTATCAGTACGTCGGACATATCAGTACCTCGGACACTTTTCATTGGCATTCTACTTTGAATATCAATAAATCAACCATAACATATTAAATTAACTATAACTAAGCGGAATCAGATGAACTAGACATATCTATAGCTTCTTGACAAGTTCGCGCATTATGACCAGCTTTTCCACAGATCCCACAGCATCGCCTAGACGGTTGCCCCTCCTTGCGACTACCCCCAACCGCACGTACGTCGCGTCGTACCTGCTCATCCACATCCTTCTGTGCGATAATAGCCTGTGCATCCTCTACTATAAGTGCACCTCCTTCACGGACACGAGCCTTTTTAGCCCTGCGGCGTTTGCTAAGGGCTTCGTTGGCTGCTCGAAGGGTACGTACCTCAGCAGACAGAAGGGTGTTCTCATGTGCTAGTGGCTCCGTACCCTTTGCCAATGCAATAACTGTCCCGAAGAGTGGAGTTGGCGAGCTTCCTTGGTGACGGGCAATTCGATTTCGAACGAGGGTTGTTTGTGAAAGAGCTTCAGTTGGGTTGGAAGGGGTCTGGGAGACCCAAGGGTTGGTGTTGGCAGTAGAGGGTCTAGAGGGAGTTGGAGTCCGTAACCTCACGTCAAGCTTTGAAAGCACTGCTTGCGGGTCGAAAGGAACTAAGCCAGCTCCGCGGAACCCGGACTGGGCGTTTTGGGCTGTCATGGATTCCAGATATGCTGCTCTAAAGGCGAGAAAGAACTCGACCTTGGTAATGTGGTTGATATGAGCCTTAATGAAGGTCTCAATCTGCCGACCATATGCCCGCTTCAACACACTAAAGCACCTGACATCAAGTGGCTGAGTTAAATGAGACGAGTGGGGAGGTAGTCCAAGAGTTATAATGTTGTGTGCCTTGCAGTACTCTTGGAACTCGGCCGATTCATGACTCTCGTGCCCGTCTAACACCAGCATTCGATATGGACCCCTTGCACGAACAGCAGTATGTTTGTCGAAGTGTTTCAACCATTCTAGACCCGTCTCATTGTTTGTCCATCCATTGCTTGTCGGTTTAACAACCCAGTTGTGTGGAAGGCCGCCGTCTGTATACCAATTTGCAAGATGATTCTTGCCTTTAACTACCAAAAATGGAGGAATACTCCAGCCGTCACTGTTGATACAAGCAATCGCTGTAGCCCATTCCCGATTCCCTGGCTGAACTGCCTTACCTCTGCCAAGTCGATCTGCACGGGTAACAACCATTGCAGGGCAAATCACACCCATCATAAACCCAGTTTCGTCAAAGTTATAGAAGTCGCAGTCCAAAACACCATATTTTGCCCTCATATTTTCCACTAGTCGAAACCACGCGCCAATTAGTTCAGGATCTTCGCACAAGGCCCTTTGGAAGTCGTAAACGCGATTAAAACGTGTCTTTAATTCTGGACGTCGTTGTACAAATCGGTGGGCCCAGAGCTTCCCGACGCGCCTCCCTCCACGCGATTCGAGTATAAAATTTGCCATATCTTCTACACCAGCAAGCCGGGGTGCAAATCCTCTTGAATCCATATCAAGTATATTCCGAATAACCACCTCCTCTCCTAGTATAGTTAATTTCATCATTGCAGGCTGGCGTTCGTAGACAGTAGTTTGGCCGTTCATTCTGTCGCAGAGTGTAGAATGAGGTACTTCATAGAGCTTAGCAGCCTTCCGACGACTTAGATTTTTTGATGTTTGCATAGCCTCGATAGCTAGAATGATTTTTGCTTCTTGGGTAATCACTGACATAATAAAAGGTGGAAAAAACGCGTTGTGAAGTTAGAGGGTAGGAAATTCAGGAAAAGTGTCCGAGGTACTGATATGTCCGACGTACTGATAAACCACATTATTCTTAAATAACGTACATGTATAACGAACCGGCCAAACAAGCGAACCGGCCAATCCATTTTACACCTTAAATCACGAATTTCATAACTTAATATCTCAACAACCCTTTAATAATAAGTTATAAAAATATGTACTTAGCCTTTTATAAGCATTTAAAGTAACGTGCATGTATAACGAAAGTGCCAAACAAGCGAAAGTGCCAAAATCATGCAGTGACCAACCCCCCCAACTAAATGTTAAATTCCTCCACAACAAAACATGCGCCATAAAAATGATGAAAGCAAATTAGTGCTAGCTATCCAAGCTATGCAAAGCGACCCAAATTTGCGCCTTCGAGTTGCAGCTAGGATCTATTCCGTAGACCACCGCAAGCTACGTCACCGTTTACAAGGCGTACCTTCACGACGCGATATCCAAGCCAACTTACAGAAATTAAGTAACCTAGAGGAATCAGTTCTTGTTCAGTATATACTTGACTTAGCTGCTAAAGGGTTCCCTCCTCAGTTGTCTATTGTTGAAGATATGGCAAATCGACTACTTGCAACACGTGACACGCCACGCGTCGGGTCACGTTGGGCTTCAAACTTTGTTAAGCGCCATGTAGAGCTCCGGACACGCTTCCAGCGAAAATACGACTACCAGAGGGCTAAGTGCGAAGATCCAGAAGTCATTCGTGGCTGGTTTGAGCTTGTATGGAACACAATTCTAAAGTATGGCATCAACAATGCAGATATCTACAACTTTGATGAGACTGGGTTTATGATGGGCGTCATCTCAAGCGCAACGGTAGTAACGAGCTCAGATGGGCGGGCAAAGGCAAAAAAGGTGCAGCCTGGCAATCGGGAATGGGTTACAGTAATCCAAGGCGTTAGTTCTCAAGGTTGGGCAGTGCCGCCATTTGTCATTGTGGCAGGTAAAAACCACCTTGCATCTTGGTATGAGAATAGCGGATTTCCAGCAGATTGGGTAATCGCTGTTACTGCAAATGGCTGGACTACAAACGAGAGAGGTATGGATTGGATTCAGCATTTTGAGAAGCACACAAAGCCCCGGAGTGTTGGTGGTTATTGCTTGTTAGTCCTTGATGGTCATGAGAGCCACCACTCAGACAAGTTTGAGGTGTACTGCAAAGAACACAACATTATTACGCTTTGTATGCCTGCTCACTCTTCCCATATACTCCAACCACTTGATGTTGGCTGTTTTGGCCCATTAAAGAGAGCTTACGGTCGGCAAATTGAAGATATGATACGGGCTCATATTATTCACATTACTAAGGATGACTTCTTTCCTGCCTTCCACGCTGCATTTAACATTGCAATGACAGAAAGCAATATTCAGGGAGGGTTCCGAGGTGCTGGGCTTCTTCCATTTAGCCCTGAGAGTGTAATATCTACACTTGACCTTCGGTTTAAGACGCCAACACCTCCAACCTCTCGCCCAAACACCGCTCAACCATGGGTTTCTCAGACACCAAATAACCCAACTGAAGCTGTATCACAGTCTACTTTCATTAAAAACTGAATTGTGCATCATCAAAATAGCTCTCCAACCTCAATCTATGCAGCTGTTGACCAGTTTACAAAGGGTGCATCGCAAATAATGCATCAATTAGCATTGTTAAAAGCAGAGAACCAAAACCTGCGACAGGCAAATTGTCATACTGACATTCGTTGCACTCAGTTTGCTATCAAACTCAAGAGCAAACTTAGAAATCTCCTCCTCAAACCTACAAGTCACCATACATATCTTGGCTTATCACACCAACAACAGAAGCAATACTACTCAACGATTGCTGCAAACTCTTCTACTACATCTGTTTATGCTACATACATCACGGCATATCATTTGAACACTCATTGAACAAGTTATTAAGAAAATCTCCTCCTTAAGGGGGTGGGCCAATACTACCACATGGCATATATCTACCAACTAGAGGCCTAGGAACATGAACGATAGCTCTAGAAGCTTCTACAACCCTCTATGATTCATTACACGTCATCGCTCCTTAGTTACCCACAAGATTGGTTAAGTTATGACATAATTTATCTATAGGTACTCTGACCTTGGACCTCCTTTTCACTTCCTATAGGCTAGGAACCCAAGAGATGGTTCTATGGGATTCTCTTACGTTCACTACATGATTAGCAAGCTAGTTGTGGGTCGCACTTGATTTCTAATACATTTACCAAGCCTGGTTAGTCATGGAAAGTCATGGAAAATGAGAGAACTACACTCCTTTGGCATAAATAGGATTGCCCTTTCCTTAAGAAAGGGCAAGCAGGCAATACAGTAAATCGACTAGCACATACTTCTACGTCTTTTCCAAGCTTCCAAGCATTGATCTTGTTATTCTCTGTTTTTGAAAAGTCAGTGAGGTGCTAACCTCTGACTTACCCCTGAGTTCTCAGACTCAACATTTGTTGCAACTTGTCTAAACCACTTCACCACATCATACACCTGATTGCTGCGTTGTGGAATAGTCTAAGCTACAACCCTTTGGCTCTGTTTCCTAAGACAGTGTGTTGTCTTAGTAAATTCATCCCTTCCTTGGGTGGCTAGATTCTCATATCTGGTGCACCCACCATTACACAAATGAAGTGCTAAGCAAGCGCCGGAGAGCTAAAAAAACACGACTACAGCAAGGAGGATCACTTAGTCAACAGGTAGCACAGGAGCTACAGGATGAGAGGGACGTTGTGCAGCAAGTAGAGCAAGAAATAAGGGCAAGTAGTGGTCGGAAGCCAAGGGAAGAAACCCATGCACGTCGCTGTGGCAAGTGTGGTGAGACTGGACACAATGCGCGCACTTGTCAGATTGTAATAGACAGGTCTGAGGAAGAGGACTCCGAGTAGTTTTAATTAATTTATATTGTTGTGGTGGATTTATCGCAATTCTTATGGGGTAGTCGCGATATTTTGGCACTTTCGCTTGTTTGGCACTTTCGTTATACATGCACGTTACTCTATTTGATTTTTAAAGCAATTAGTATTGTAGTTATTAAGATACTAAGAATTAGGTCAAAAGTGGGGGCTAAAACTCAATATCTTAATAACTACAATAC